CAAAGAAAAATTATGCAACAAAAACAACGCGCAACATGAAATCAATGTTATGAAATTTCAAAACGAGTATGTAATTATGTATATAGGTCAATCTCTATTAATTATTATTACACATTATTCGTGATGATTAATTATATCATAAAGAATTTTTATAATCAATTATTATTCGGTATCCGAATTGATATTAGAAAATAAAATAAAAGATATTTGGATCAATTAATATAATTACTACTTAATTGTATTAAAAAGAATTTTGATATTCGATTATTACTATGTTCAAATTGTTATCCATATATTTATATTATACATATATGTTTATATATAATATAGATATTTTTTAAAATATTTTTATATATAATATCTTTATATATAATATAAAGATAATATCTTTATATATAATATAAAGATATTTGAACAAAAGTTCGAAATTCTTTTAATCATGCCTATAATCGTCTTTTGTAATAGTAAATAGAACTAATTAATTGAATACTAATTAAATTAAAAGAGTGCTGCAAATTTTGTACAAAATGTCAATGAATTGTCCACTTTACGTCTCATATTCAAATTCGTGTAACTAAATACGTCACGAATATTAACGTTGTCAAAAATTGCACACGTACAATAATTACTACATTATTTACAACGCAGAATTGAAAATATCATTTGTAAAGAGAGAAATGAGCTATACATACGTCCGCGATTTTAGACTTGAGAATAAATGTTTCAGGATAATTCGTATCAAAACTCGCTGAATTGTTAGTAAATACAGATTTACCTACAGCGTTGTTGAAACTGTTCTCTTTGTCCTGTTATATCGAATCACTTGTAAATAAAACGTGCCTAGAGAGAATTCTGTCTCATTTTCTCTTTCCGAGACACCGTAAATCACGATGGCGGAATTCCACTCAATTTGCTAGATGGTTGAGGACACACCCTGCTCGTAGAGTCGTGAGTCGTAGCGTTATTGCTCTGAAAAGGTAAAAAACATTTAAATTATTGTAATGTAACAAGAAAAGAGTTACTTACGAAATAACTTTGAAGCGTCCAGAGCTTCAGTAGTGTAAGTCAAATTGTGAACTTTACTAAAGACCAGTACAACTAACCAAATTATCGAAGAACACATTATATTAGATTGCTTCAATATATCTCAGATGTATTCAACTTTTATATTATTTCTTGCGCTTGTGCGATCACGTTTTAGTGTCATAAGTTTTGCAGTTTTCTTGACAGTGCAATTGTTGTGCTGTTACAAATCTCTTACACTAAGCGAATAGATAAAAATTTCACAACGTAGAAAAAAAATTTAAAGTAACATTATGTAATCTTACAGTATTCTTTCAAGTAAACTTCCTGTTTGAACCGCCGAGACTTACACCAATCCACTCTAGGCCCTCCGTACGTTCGAAGCCGCGTGATGCGTGCTTAATACGAGTCTGGGCATCACCTGCTGGTTCAAACTCGCACCTGGACTGGCGGTGACGGTGCTGTAGGCCTCCTGCGAACAGCACGTTTGCATGTGCGTAGGCCAATGAGACTGCTGACACGGATAATCGCAGTAGGACGTATTCCAACAACAGTAAAACACCGCTTCTCGCCCGCAATTCGCGCACCACTGCTTCCGCTTGGTCTCCTCGATACATCGAACCTTCTCCTCTTCGGCGTCTCTGCGAGCTTCCTCGAGAGCTCGTAACTTCTCCGCTTCCAGACTTTTTCGCACTTCGAACAGGATACGGTCTGAAATTTACAACCCTTGTAAGTATTTTATAAATAAATAAAAAAAGAGATTTTCAAATCAAGTTTTATAGTGGAAAACCGTCGATGAAAAGAAACGTACCGTTGTTGTGTTTCAGTTCGGCGAGCTGCTGTTGATGCTGCCACTTCATATGCTCCATTTGCATCTGCAGGAAGAATACGGTCGTCTCATAATTCTCAGCGGTGCCGTTCTCGCCCTTGACATTGGCCTGCGCCGCCTCCTTGTACGCTTCCTCCATCAACTGACCCATTCTTCGCGCGAGTTCGTTCGCGTCGTGATGCAAGCGCGCGCTGATCGGTCCGGCCTCCGGAGATGGCAATTGATAAGCGGAGAACGTTTCTCGCTTCGTCGGGCAAGTCGCAGTGGACTCGCCTGTACTCGGCAACAAGTGCTGGACGATTTGTGTATTGTGCGATTTATTATGCAAGGTCTTTCTCGCCTTGCTCTCTTTCTTCTGAAGATGCGTCTCCTTCTGCATGGAATTCACATCCTTATTGACTGTCGTCGCGACTTGTTTCGCAGCCTCGTTTTTGCCACTGTTGTTCACCACGAGAAACAGTACAGACTTGTCCGCCGCAGAAGAGAGCGGATTCGTCGAAACGGGAAGAATCTTCGCGCTCGACGCCGGTGTCGCGGGCGGTAGCATCGTTATATCGATCCCCGATGTCTTCTGAGCACCCTTCGATGATTCCTTGTTGTTGTTCAATACCTTGTGTGTCATCCCGCTCAAGATCGGTGACGACTTCTCATTTTCCTTGCTCGCGGAAACGGACTTCAACGCCTTCTCCGCGTTCAATTTGTCGACCATTCGTGTCTTCGGTTTGTACACTTTATTGTTCTTCACGTGCCTCGTGGTCGTCTTCTCTGTCTGGGAAAGCGCCAGCTGAGGATTGATGATGTTTTTCAAGAGACTTCTCTTCCGCACTCGCGACACTTCGGACGTTTCGCTGGCCGGTGATGTCGCTGACGAACTCTCCGCCGATGATTTCGTTTCCTCTTTTAATTTCGACGAGGTTTTATTCGAGGAACCAGGACTCGTTGTACTGTTTGCGGCGACGTTATCCGCACTCGCAACATTTCCCCGAGACGCCGATGCCGCACTCTTCGACTTCTCCTCCTTTACGTTTTTGTTTTGAGCAATTGTAGCGGTCTCCCGATTTTTCGCGTTACCTAATTTACTATGATTAGTATTTAGATGTGAGTTTGAAGTATTCTTAGTATCGACGACATCTAACTTTTGTACTTTTGGTGCTGTGGCTTCACTACTTCTCTTTTCCTGCTTATCGTTTTCGTTTTCCTTCGAACTGGTGTTTACTTCGTTATCAGTCGCTTCGTCACTTTGTAACTTATTGCTTTTATTAACGGAGAAACTCCGTCTCTTCAGCGGGCTCTTTTTCTTCCCGGACGCGGAAGGAGATTCAGAGATGGGAAAGTGACTGTTAGGCTGGAGAGAATTGTAATTCGGCAGCATCAGCAGTATCTGCTTCGGATCGTTCGGATCATATTGCACTTTGGATGGCGCGTACTTAAATTGGCCGAACATAAGTGCAAGCTTTCCACAGTGCCGTTGAATCTCACGAACGCACTCGTCCATGTCGGACTTGCGTTTGCGAGGAGATGGCGCGGGTGGCTCCTCCGAGTACAAATAGAGATCCTTCGGTGGTACCCAGGCGCGATCGTGTTCGCCAAAAAAGCGCACATCTACGTGTCCTTGAGAGTTCACTCGCGGCATCGCTTTCGCCGGCCAGAATGGGAAACCCTTCAGTTTAGCCCAGACAAGCGGATGTGGCCGACGACAAGGCTCGATGAACCACGACGGTTGATGTCTCGGCAGGTTACGGCTGTGCGCGTAGCAATCAGGACACGCCTCGATCTCCGAGACTTCCTGACGCGCCACTTTGATAAGCTGCTTTGCCGCATTCGTCAATTTCGATGTGTCCGCGTAAACACCGCCACCTAAACACCAACACAATACAAATTTATTTGTCTTAAATATTTGTGATTATATAAATTTGAGAGCAAGTTCACGTACAAGTATTGAATACAATGCAATTATGTTGAATCCATTTTGCATCTGCCATAAACGCATCGGTGCTGCCATACAGTTTAGACCGTACATTTGTCTCCAGAAGACTCAGATCCATCGGCTTAATCACGTAATCCAAATAATTTGGCACTTCTGCAATATCCACTGCTTTGCAGAATGGTTCGGACTGAATAAAGAATGTAATAAAAAATTTTATTAGTGCAAAAATTTGTCATTCTTTCACCAAGTTTCAGATTTCAGGTTGAATAAAATTAGAAGTCTTTCAAAAAGACATTAAAAGATTTCTTTCTCCACTAAAGACTCCTGGCTTACGAAGTCTGCTAAAGTCAGTGGCGACAATTTTGTTTCAATTTTACTACAATTGTATTTTTAGTTTTATTTTAACAGACATAGATATAATCTAATAATTAGAAACTGGTTAAACATGTTCCGTAATATATTATAACACTAATATTTAATTTATATAAAAAAATATATGCATACCCCAGGATATTCGCGCAATCTCTCAACCACATGTTTGAGCAGCATACACAACTGATCCACGGACAATTGCGCCATTGACAAAGTACGCGTTTCAGCGTTTTCGGCTCTCAGAATGGTCACGCATTCACCGCATATCCATTTCTCCAAGGAGGTCGGCATGCCACCTATGCATTTGCGATGCCACGAACGAGGACAGGCGGTACAATGAGCATCGACGCCTTCCTTATGACACCGCCAACAGAATCGATCGCTTGTGCTCTTCAGCTTCTTCCTCTTACTACCTCTGGTGCCGCTCTCCTCCATGGGAGGTTCTGTCGTCGATGAACCACTGAAGATTAATACAGTTTTTTTAATGTTTAAGATATATTTCAAATCACTTGTTTTACATAAATTTTGCAAATTTTCGAATAAAAATAAACGCAAAATGTTGCACTAACCTTAAGGATTTTCGTTTCCGTTTTAAGGATCCTCCTTTTGCCGAAGCGTCTTTATCTTCATTTTTAACATCCTTTTTATCATCTGCACTTTGAGAATCATCATGTGAAGTCAAATTTTCCTGCTTCTTATCTACCTTATTATCGTCCTGCTCACTCTTGTCAATTGCCAATGAGTTCAAATTGTGTTTGTTTTCTTTTTCTATATTATCAGTGTTCTTTTTCTGTTTATTTCCACTGTTTGCTTCATCAGTTACATCTAATGTTAAATTCTTCTTCTCCTCTGGATTACCAACATCGCTCAATCCATTTTGTTGCTCAACTGAAGAAGTACTTGGCAATTTTTTCTCATCTGTTATTGATTCCTCTGCAATTGCATCTACTTTATCTATGGTAGGAGATTTCACAGACCCTTTGCCGCTTTCTTGAGACGCCATTTTGATTATCACCTTTACACAAAATATTTTATTGAGTTAAATATAGGAGAAAAATAATAGCACTGTGAATATATACATCTTGACACAGTTATTACAATCACAATTACGTTATCATAAAATACAATATATACATATACTATGTTGTTCAAATGTTAATAAGACTAACTTTTTTAAAGTAGTACAAAAAGCATTTATTCAGAAATAATATACGTCTCCCTATAAATGTCCCCAGGGAGACATTTTTCCCAAATTTCTAAAAGTTTCTTTATGCCCTTGTCGAAAAAAGACTTGCTGGGTACATATTCAATTTTACACGTGGTCGACGAAAATGAGGTTTAAATACAAAATCAACCAAGATAAAACTTGAAAAAAAAAAAACAGTTTACAAATGATAAGTTCAAACAAGGACATAAACGAAAATAAATCTCATTCTCACCGGCCATGTGCAAAACTAAATACGTACTCAGTCAAAAACCTTTTTTAAAAAGAATAAAGAAACTTCCAGAAATTTGAAAAAATGCCTCAAACTTCGAGAGAATGTGTAAAATAATAGGAATATAATTTTATTGTTATATAGCATTTTTGAACAAGTGCTTTTCATACTACTTTAAAAAAATCAATCTTGTTAATATTCGAACAATCTAGTATATACATTAATATCACATAGCTGACCAACCAATACAAGTAAATTATTGGATTAGACTGCGTGGATATCTAAAAATATTTCTTTGAGTAACACTCAAACACAAAGATAAGCAGTATTATCTCATAAACCTTGTATCTGCAAAGTTTCTCACAGTAATAATAATAAAGTTCTGAGCAACAGCAAACACTTAAAAACACCACTCAATGTCCAAATGAGTTTAGCATATTGTAACAGATTGGCAGCATCTCCAGCATCAGTTATTTCCTGTGTAGAATCAGGGGAAGTGCTACTTACAAAAGCATACAAGCGCACACGAGACATTGGGCATAAACAGAATCATTACCTTGTGAAAACTTCAGGTATCATACACTGTGTGGTGTTGTTGATGCTAGTTGTGGACTAGCTGCTTCAAAACATCCTCGACTTCACGGAAGCGGACTGCTCCCTTAGCTTGGAGGGTCGTTAACGTTAATAATTATCGTGCCGCAGTAGATGATCGAACGTCGTGTTCCTCGTTCACTCAATTTCACATCAGAAAGTTCGCCTTCCTCTTCGTACGATGCCAGCCTTGCCAGGTGTCGGTGGCGCCATCTCTCGACGATACCCCTCACGACGCTGGTCACGTGACGCCGCGTTATTTGTTGTCGATCGTCTCTGACAGAATGAAAGGCGCATAACAAAATGTTATTTCATAATAAAACTTAATTTTTATCCTAACAATTCGTAATCGATTCTTTTTATCGTCTTATTGTATTTTCTGCGCTTTCTTCAATTTTTTCCCTCTATCAATGTATACTCGTTTGACTCAAAATATAAAAAATATAAGACTGTAAGAAATAAATCTGTCAAGATCTGCGCTCACCGTTTTCAGTGATGATACCGTCTCTTTATAAATTCGGGAAAAATCGGGACGAAATGTCGGATCGTTGACAGTAGCGAAAAATGAGGTTAGACGTTGTTGCATGGTCTCGTCTAAAAGAAACGTTGGATTAATTGCTCTACGTACTATTCGTCTATTTCCTCCGAAAAATGATAATCCGGATGTCGCGAGAACCGTCATCCCAAGAAATGTGCAAATTTTGCCCTGGCAGCGATGACGTCCTGGTGACGATCTGTTATTTGATAAAAAACAATGCATGTTTATTCGCGCATAAATTGTAGAATCAGGTAGTATTATAGCATCAAATTATGTGCTAATACCGTATCGACAAGATGTTTCCTTCGTTTCAATGTCAAACGCGAGATTGTCCTTACAGATGAGATTGTCATTAGATTGTCACTTCCTCGGTGCGCTAAAGAGGTTATGTTGCATTCAGTCACGTGAGCGAGTACCATAACCCAATCTCACCCTCGTTCTTTCTCTCTCCCTCTATTTCTCTCTCTTCGTTTTTCCGCTGCGACAAAGTGATATCGCAATCGAAATGATTGGACGATGTAAAATGAATGGACATGGCGGATTGTGGGTCGCGTAGATAGTAAACAGTCACAGCGACAGCTGTACTCTTATCTAGTCTGGTCGAGATAAGCGGAGAAATGGATTCGTCGTGCGATCAAGTTTAAAGTACAATTAGACTCGAAAGAAAATCAGATCTGATGGAAGAAAAGTATGCCTCGGGAATTCTGTCGCGACACTTTGACGTAAGGCGTTGATGCTTAGGTTATGTCGTTCTGTCAAAACGTTTGCAGCTTGTGAGGAAACTTGTCTGCCACCACTTTTCATAGAGAAGAATCGAGACTGCAATAATGGGCGATCATATTGGAGATAATATATTGATTCCACAGGTAGACAACGTTGTGTTGATTGACAGAAGCGATGGCAGTAATAGGTGTATGGATGGCACACTGTGCATCAGTGGGCATCATCTCATCTTGTCTTCTAGACAGGATGACGGGCAGGAGGTTTGGGTAGGCGTTGATCAGTTACTTGACACGCATACTTAATACATTGAATCAATTCTCAACTTCATAAGAAACCTTTTCTTTTTCCAGTTAATGAATCGAAATATTGATGTTGTGGAGAAGAAATTGAATACTCAGAGTCCAGGTGGTAGTATAATATTGAAATGCAAGGACTTTCAAATCCTTCAACTAGACATTAGTTCCACCAATGACCTAATTAATGCCATATTATCCATAGAGAAGCTAATATCATTAGGTAATTTGATGGCATCTTTAACGTTTTAGGCCCATAGTTGTAACTGTGATTTATTTTGCAGACCAGACTCTGCAATATCCATTTTTTTATCGACCACAGACGACCAACAATACCATGGTACAAATAGAGGATGGCTGGACAGCATTTGCACCTGTCTCTGAGTGGTCTAGATTATTGGCGACGCATGGGGATGAATGGCGTATCAGTTACTTGAATAGAGATTACAAAGTTTGTAACTCTTACCCATCGGCTGTTATAGTGCCGCGTCAAATAGACGATAAAGTTGTAATAGCCTCTGCTAGCTTCAGGGATGGCGGAAGATTCCCTGTTTTGTGCTACAGACACGAAGGAGGGGTGAGTAATATACTTAAATTATACCTGTAAATTATGAATAATTACATTATTATTTATTCAAGTATTTATAATTAATTTGCAGAGTATACTGTTGAGAAGCAGTCAGCCATTATGTGGTGCTACTGCTAGGCGGTGCAAGGAAGACGAAAGATTGTTGAACGCCGTCTTAGGTCCGGGAAGACGCGGGTAAATATGACTAATATACGATTGCTTAAATCGTATCATCGTTTTTTCCGACAATTGTTACATTTATTGAACATTTACAGTTACTTAGTGGACACAAGATCGGTTAGTCAAGCGCAAAGCGCCAGGGCCAGAGGCGGCGGCACGGAGATGGACACGGCTTACCCGCAGTGGCGAAAGGTGCACAAACCAGTTCCTCGACCGCAAGATCTGGCGGATAGTTTCTACAAGTTAATAGAAGCTTGTAACGACGTGAACAGCTCCACTTCGCAGTGGCTGTCAAAGCTGGACAGCAGCGGATGGCTGTCCGCCGTACAAAGTGCTTTAAACGCTGCCTGCGTAACCGCGCAGTGCCTACACCAAGAAGTCGCGGCTGTGCTAGTTCACGGTGCGTCTAAAACTAAATGTCAATAATACAATATTCAGTAATGTTTGCAGAAGTATATTCAGGCAGGTTTTAAATATATATAAAAGAAAGCATTAAAACTACTTAAATATTGAAAATGAGAAATAAATTTTAGAACGACACATTATCGTCGTATTTTGCGCTTACAGGTAGCACAGGCAGAGACTCTACATTAGTAGTAACTAGTTTGGCTCAGGCGATACTGAATCCCGATTGTCGAACGGTACGAGGACTTCAGGCGCTTATAGAACGCGAATGGTTGCAAGCGGGCCATCAGTTTTTCAGTCGGACTCGATGTGGAGCCTATCAGCCGTCAAACTCACAAAATTCGATGCACGCGCCGACTTTCCTACTTTTTCTCGATTGCTTATACCAATTACACCATCAGTTCCAATTCAGTTTCGAATATACAGCGGATCTGCTCATCAAATTGTACAAACACACCTATTCTTCAAACTACGGTACATTTTTAGGTACGCAAACGATTAACTATGCTTTATCTGTATTTTTTTTTATTCAAATTATTTGAAAGTATAATATAGAATGTTAAAAATGATATGCTATAATATAAATTAAAATGTACCTGCTATTTATTGCTCCATCATGTACATCGTGTGTTTATTCAGGCGATTCGGAAGCGGAAAGGATAAAATTACGTCTGTCCGAGCGAACTTACAGCTTATGGTCCTACATGAATCAACCGGACGTGTTGGAGCAGTGGATAAATCCTCTTTACGAGCCGAATCCGGGAGTGATCTGGCCCAGCGTCGCCCCCATCAGTATTCAATTATGGAAAGATTTGTATCTCGCTCATACAAGCGCAGCCCCGTGGGACGGTATGCTCTCATACGCGAAGCAGATCAAGCAGAATCACACGGCGGTGCGCAAAGTGGCGGGACAGTTGCAGGCGCAGATCAAGCAGGCGTTGGAGGATATACGATCGGACGCGGACATGTCGCGGGTGGACGCGGACGGTCAGGAGGAGCTCTCCCGTATAGCGCAATTGAGTCTGGAGTCGCAGAGCACTTGATACAGAATGTAGAGGCTAAAAAAAAAAACTTAAAATCTCTCCGTGCTGTTGTTCAACGATCTTGTCAATATGCCTTCGATCAATACAATACCACGTTAGCTCGTAAGGATCAACGGTTTCTCCGCAAATGACCTGCCACGTATGCCGAAGCCTTCGTAAAGGAATCCTCAATTCTCTCGATCCCTCGGAAATAAGAAGAAAACTGTCTATATTCGTGTAAAACTAGCTCCACGGTCTGACAGAGCGGGCTATCTTTGTCGATATAAATTTGAATATTGTATGTGTGTAAAGAATATCTTGCATAATCAACGTTATACATCACGCGCGGTCTTCGCCTATATTAGTAAAATTCGTATTATCAGAAAGATGTCACGATTCTATGTAAACAATTTCAAGACGAGATAAAGTGTGATATTTTTTATTTCACGACGAGCGCATAATTTGTATTATATTAGCGACATAACTGATGTATATTATATATAATAATTACAGTTGTTATATATAATATATATATGTATGTACATATGATTCTCTATATACATATAACTTATTTATCCAAAGGTAATTTAATATAAGATAATAAAAGTGGAAATAAAACTGTATATTGTAAATTCAGCATTAAAGAGCATCATTGCGAGGGTAGAACTGACGAATTTTTCACTCGAGCGTACAGAGAGAAGAAAATCTCGCTCGTTCGGGGGTACCGACGAGTTTTTACCGTT